CTGTAAGAAGATAATTAAAGATATAGAAAGAAAGATCGATCGATCGAAATTGATGAACGGTTATTAACGATTAACGTTATAATAATTTACATGAGCAAGCTCGTGTATCGATTCTCTCATCTTATTACTGGTTACTCATCGTCAGACACTTTTTTTTAAAGTACACTCGAGATTGAAATCCTGTTGAAATTACCAGGGTCGTGATATATTCTGGTACTATGAAAGATCCACAGAATGAGTTGGCAGTAATATTTCATTGAATTCAGAGCTCATTATTCCCTGTGGCACCGGCTGTAATTGATAATTACATGGGCTCTTGTATGTTAGAGCGAACCGCTCACCTACGTCGCATATCAAATTACCTATTATATCTGACTTGCCAATGAATCAGAGAATATGGGTACCTACCTATCTCTTCTACGAAAACTTATACGAGCACGAGTTAACAAGCTCTGCAATATTACAGGTCTAGATTATTTGGTAAAGTAATTTAACGCTATCGTCTTTAGCCGATATAGATAGATGTATCAATTATTCGTTCTCCACTTTCAAAGATATCTCGCTCGTTAATAAAACTTTTCACAACAAATTCCTGCGCAATTTTAATCGGATTAACAGAAGGATATCCTGTTAACATGTATCGTGTTACCCCTTGGCGAATAGAATAAAATTCAAGAGAGAAAATTCGATCGAGTAGTTAGAAGAAAGAATATATCTAACGATCTCGTGAGAGTTTATCTTTTATATATTTTTTTTTCTCCTTTTTTTTTTCTTTTTTCTTTGTTTTTTGTTTTAACCGGGATAAAACTTGCAATTCGCCAATTAAATAGATAATAGAGAAACGCGTGTGCGTCTTGCTAACGCGATAAAATTTCTATATCTACAAAGAAGTTTACGGTAGGCATATAGCAGTAGCGGAACGAACGACGGCCTCTATTCGTGAGCCGAAAATAATTATCAATTATACATTAATTTCGAATTAACGAGCGAAAAGCGGCTCACCGTGTACAATGAACTGCGAGCCCTTTTCCCCGAGGCTAACTCTCGTTACCTACCACCAGCAGCTAACTCGGCTATTGCTTGCTTGTTTGCTGCCACTGCTGCTACTGCTACTGCTGTTAGTGCCACGTTGCTGTTGCGCTTCTCTTGCTACAGCCTGTGATGAAGCGTTGTTGCTGCCGTTCCTACTGCCCGCCCACGCTACTCTAGGCTAATTAACTATTAATTACGGCCTTGATACAGGTTATACGTGTTCCTCGACTAATTGGACTCCGAAAGCGTAGACTGGCGTCACTGACGTCAGTCTAACATGTTGACAAGCATAAGTATGATGTTCGTATAGGATTCAAACCATCCAGTGATCAGTAATTTTCTACTTTCTTTTATTAATTTCATTCGTAAGGAATATGTTCGTTCGTAATCAGGACTTCCGATAAAAAAAAAAAAAAAAAAAAAAAAAAAAAAACAGAAAAAAAGAATACAAAAGTAAAAAATATATAAGAAAGGAACAGTCTGAAGAGTGAAAAAAAAAAGGAAAGAGGAGAAAAGAAAAAAGTAAATATGTATGTACTTGGAATGTACTGAATTCCGTTGAGCTCCAACTTCGTGCGATCTATTGTTTCCACGGGCTCTAAAGAGGCCTCTCTACGCCCTCCCATCCCACCCCCGCTTTTCTCCACGTCAACCTTTTTTTTTTTCTTTTTTTGTTTCTCGCATCTTCAAAGTACGCTTATTTGCGTCGGGCAATCGAATCAATCGTTTCACTAGAATCGTTCAACCCTATGTTGTTATCTCGAAAGCTCATAAGTATTTTAAGTTATCTTATACGATTAATGAAATTACCTTTACGATGTTTTTATTTTGTAACTTTTTTAAAAATACACTTAATCTTCATTCATAAATTCATGTCGATCGAAATTATGTTTAGTTAATAAATTATAAATGATTATTGGATGTAAACTGCGGTAGCTCTTTTTTCTTTCTGATAAGATAAGATGAAAAATAAGTGTCAATTCGTCGAAGAAGAGGGATTTCGAAAATAAAGAAAAAAGAGTAAAAAGTGGCGAGTCGACCAGTTGGAAAAGAATCGACGAGAAAAGGAAGGATTTACTGAATTTTAGCGAAACGTCGGTCTCTCGACGAGGAGCAGACTTTATAGAACTCGGGGAGAGAGCAGGGCTCTCGAAAGACCCTATCTCTCTCTCTCTCTCTCTCTCTCTCTCTCTCTCTCTCTTTCTCTTTCTCTCTTTCGCTCTAACAGGAAAACAGTGGTAGTTTCACCACTAAATATATTCTCGCGACGTATACGAATACGCGTAGGTTATACGTCGTTGTGTGAAAAAAGACGGAACAAGGAGAGAGAGAGAGAGAGAGAGAGAGAGAGAGAGAGAGAGAGAGTACATTGGTACATCCCGTAGTGGTGGAGAAGGGTGGAAAGATGGGTGGTGCGGAGGGGGTTGCAGTGCTTAAACGAGGGTGTGCGTCGTGCTGTCACGCTACACACGGGGTAGTTGCCATCGGTGCGCCGGTGGCGGGCCGGTTACCAGGCAACCGACTATGAAGGAGCCTGGATAGCCAATGGCGGCCCTCAAAATACCCCCTTCGTCTAACACGGCTTGTTTTCCGTGCTTAAGAGCGAGACAGAAGGAGCTTTTGCTTTAGTAGCTGTTAAGGCCTTAAGTCCGTGCCTTTGCGACGGACTGCGACCGAGAAGCAAAACTCTTACTGTGTGTGTGTATGTGTGTATGTGTTACAGGAGACCTACCTTCATTCCTATCTTCCTTATTTCTATTCGATAATTCGTAATCATTGTATTATCGTATTACGTTGGATTATTCACGTTTAGAGAAATTAAACAAAGAACCTTTGTTTTATTTTTAGAAATTGTCATTTGAAAAGGGAAGAAATGATAAAGTTTGTACGAAGCAAATGAAAGGAGATGAAAAGTGTTAGTCATGTTAAGAGGAGGGTAGTCCTGGGAATGATTGTAACAGTAGTAGTAGTAATAGTAGTAATAGTAGTAGTAGTGGTAGTGGCGGCGGTCGAAACATCGTTGCGTTTCATATCCCATGGGGTGGACCAAAGGTAGCACGTAGCACACCCCTGGGACATCTTCCGCCGTCACTTGTCCGTATTAAGGCCGGGTACTAATCTCGAAATTTAATTTGAAAATCTTTTCACGACACAGTCCGATTCCGTCTGTGTTACATCCACCATCATCACCATCCTCTCGCTACTTCAATGCTTAGAAAAAGAAAGAGAGAATAAAAGAGAAGTGTACGCGAGCAAGACGTTTTAAATCGGGAATTAACCCCCGAACAGTCCCTTTGTATCGTGGTAATTGAAAATTCGTATTGGATTGGACTCTCGCCTTTCTTATATTTCTTTCTATCATTCATCTTTATGTTCATGATTTATCTTTCTCCCTCGATTAATCAATTTTTTCTTTCTTATAATAATGCAGATTTATTTGTTGTTAACATTTTGTTAATTTCTTCCTCTCTCTCTCTCTCTCTCTCTCTCTCTCTCTCTCTTTTTCATTTCATCTCTCATTTGATATTCTTGTTATTTTCTCATTGTGCCTTTCTATTGTCTTCCTTTTTTATACATTTTTTTTTCCTTTACTTTTTTTTTGCTTTTATTTTATCTTTCTCGCTCAACTTTATAAATTCTTCAAATTTATCCGTTTGAAAAAATATTCGTAAAGAACATTCGAAATTCATTTGCTATCGTTATTATTTCATCAATCTATCCTTTTCTCTCTCTCTTTCTCTCTCTTTCTCTCTCTCTCTCTCTCTCTCTTTTTCTCTCGCATTTGAATTTACGCGAATTCGCGGATTTTCCAGCATCGCGACGATTTTACGTACGATTTCGCTCGTTATTCGCTTGGCAGCTTGCTCTCGTATGGAGATCGTATTCGAAAATGAGCCACTTTGAGTAAATCGATTTGATGTACCAATGAGAATCGTATAATAATCCGAACCAAACAATATAATCGCTTTTCTATCTTTTCGCTGATGCTTTTTGATATAATGAATTAAGAAAGAGAGAGAGAGAGAGAGAGAGAGAGAAAAAAAGAAAGAGAGAAAGAAAAAGAACCCTTGCTTCGAACGAAATAACATTATTCGTTGATTCGACGCGCTAGACTCGAATTTAGTCACGCCTCCCTGTCACCCCTTTCATCGATCGTACACAAGCTTTTCCTTCCTAAATAGAAATTATACTCAGTTTTAACCCTCTAACGTGTACGATATAATTTTTGAAAAAATATTTAACCTTAAACTATTTCACATGGTATTAAATAAATATTAAAAAAGAAATATAATTAAAATATTTCGTATAGCTATATTATAAAATAACGTTAATCATTAATGTTACAATTTTACAAACGCATATACGCGTAATTTCCTAAAAAGAAGAAAAGACAAAAAAGAAAAAAAAAAAAAAGGAAAAAAGAAAAAAAACAAGAAAAGAAAAAACGAAAAAACAGGAAAAAACGATTATCCAATACAATTATTTAACGATAAAGATATTCATTTCTTTAATTCGATCGATTTCAGAAAAGCAAAAAAACATGCTGAAGAGGTAATCATTTATCGAGCTCGAGTAGATGAGAGTAACACGAACGTTTACATAGTCGGTAGGGACGAATGGAGCGTGTCCGAGCGAAGTAGAGGCCTCGCACGCGTCCCTTGGGATGTTTCGCTAGATTAAAGACCCCTCCGTTTTCGATAGTTTCGCTAGAGCATGCAACATCGTGTAAAACACTTGTAACATGGACCAACCAGTTAACCAACCAACCGACCAACCAACCAACCAACCGATCGACCGACCAACCGATCGACCGAGAACCATCAGAAGCTTAGGGTGCTAAGCTGCCAATGCTTTCACGGTGTTTTTGGGATCGAATTAATTTTACCGATCGGATCTTCGATTCTCTCGAGAATTCGACTTACGTGCGAACTCGAACGAGCCCCGGAGTATACGCATCGATTCTAATT